ACAAATTCAATTATTATTATTATTATTATTATTATTATTATTATTATTATTATTATTATTATTATTATCAGCTAAATTATCGGCCAAAATTTTATTTTCCGATATGATTCCAATACTGAAAAAATGCCCAATATTGGCCGATAATTTCTGTGCATCCCTAATTTATATATATTACCATATATATATTGATTAAATGACTACATGTTATGTGAAAGGTGTAGTGACAAAATATTAGAACCCATGCCGCAATTTTATGTGTAATTTCATGGCTCCACTGATGTAGTTTCCTGTTGCAGCAGGGAGCTTTTATGGTCTTTCAAAAAGCTCTGATAAACCCAGGTATGCTACCAACACGAGGCCAAGTGGCAAAGTTAGCAATAGTGGGTGAACAAAATGGAGCATTTTGCAGCCAAACAGCCAGGTAATTCTTTGAGGATTTAAACATAACAGTGTTAAAAGCAGATTAAATATTGGGTATATATTATAAATAAATGTAATAAATAATGAATTGTTCATGTGGACAGAAACATGACTCCAAATGTATGTATGCTAATGTTTCTCCGTGACTGATTCACCTTTAACATAACTGACAAATCCATGGTTTGTCATAATAATAATAATACATAATGCAGTGAAAATATAATTCTCTTCTTTACAGCCAGAACACAGATGCAACAAATATGTCACAGATGTAGCATGAAGATTTTATGAAGTTGAAAGCTATGAAATTAAGATTTTATATCCCATAATTCACATCAGCCAGATATGTGTGGTTTTGTTGGTTTTCTGGTGGAATTATGTCTAGGAAATGGCCAAATCTGGTTGGGAAGCTAAAGCCCATTAGTCCCCCAACTGACATGTTAGTGATGTTTCAGAGGCTTTTCCATTTCTATATTTCAACATGCAGGTTCCATGGGATGTCCTGCATTTAGTATTTCTTTACCGAAATGGTTATATACACTGGATACTTACACAGCATCAATGCATAAGTTTATAATTGCATCTTGTTAACTTCAACCTAACTTTCCACTTGGGATTTGTGTTTCTATGTGTAGTTTGATGTGTGTTATTCTGTGTATCCTTACTTGTATGTATAGATGCAGTGAAGTACTTGGAGTGCTCAGCTTTGACCCAACGTGGTCTGAAGACTGTGTTTGATGAGGCCATCCGGGCCGTGCTCTGCCCTCAGCCCACCAAGGTCAAGAAGAAGCCCTGCTCACTGCTGTAAATGGTAAGACTTGAGTAAACATGGAGATAGAGCAGGAAAGTGGTCAAAGAAAGAGGGAGAAGAAAAGAACAACTGCAAGATGTAGTGAACAAGTGAGGGCGAGTAGGAGGGGTCATGATGATTCATTCATTCATTCGTTAATCCCTGGATCAAAAGTCTGAATGCATCCTGTTCAATGTGTGAGGAATCCTCTGCTCTGATAATACACAGAGAATAAAAGCAGATTCTTCTGAAATAATTTCACAAATGTCATATTTGGTATGAGAAATAAGGGTTCCTTTCACAGTACTTGGGTAATTATTTCCAAGACTTCAGGGCAGATTTCCAATTTGCCAGGTAGAGGACAGACAAATAATGCAGTGAGCTAGAAATGCAGCAATAATTTTCAAGCCATTTCTCCACAGGAGAGACATTAGCAAATGAAAAGTACAAAGAAAAAAGGGGGCTAATGTTGAGAGGCTGCCTTTTTTTAAATTACCATAATAATTGCAGAACTGAACAGAACTTGCATCCTGCTGGCATTTCAATATTCCAAGGTGCAGAGTGAATTTAAAGACATGTTACAGAGACATATTTTACAAAATGACATGTGGAATAATGAGTCACTTCTATAATTGTTTTGTTCTTAATGTTGAATCAGAAATAAATTGTCTTGGATGTCCTACATGCACTGCCTTTTTAAATTATGCGTGTGTTAATGAAGATGTTACAGATTAATGTGGTCTTCATTGTTTTACATTCTTGCAGGACCAGAAGGAGGAAAATTCATTCAGACTGCTGAACTCGGGTTAAAAGAAGATGATTTGAAAGTTTTGATATGTTTCTAATAGAAAACTACAACTAGATTTCCACTAGTTTAAAAAATATATATATTTTTTTCAATTTTAATAAAACGGCAGCAAAACTTTCTGTACAGCACACTCTGAGTCTGATTTTTAAAGTGCATGATAGATGCTGCACCAGACAGAATTTCTCTGTAATATATACCAGTTTACCAGCAAGTGTGGATGCCGCAGTTCAGATACTATACATTCACCCGATTATTTGTAATACGTTTAGAATGCTAGCTTTATCCAGTGGACCAAAATTTCTGCACACCAGACTACATCCTGCTGCCCCGTTCAGGCCAACAATATATAAAGGTGTCTTGTGCAGCTTCAAATAATGATAATATTTGTTATGGTGTTACAATAACATCGGTTCATAATGTCTTTGACTGAGTGACGAACAATGATCAGGAATGTAGTTTTTGTATGAGCAGGGAGCTGAACAATGTTGTATTTGAATAAAAGTTATTAACAAAGGTATTATTTGTTGTGATATTATAATAAATGACATTTGATCAAGTAAAATATCTGCAGAGAATTTCTTCAGAGTTGACATGACTATTTCCACACAGCTGCTATGATGATCTAACCCGTGGTTTTCCAGTCACTGCATAGTCCACACAGCTTCAGACATGCAGCATCATCTACATGATCCCAGCAGTGTTTAATGAGCACAGTGTGGAGGCTCTATCTAATGTTGATATATATGACTGCATTTCTTCCATCTGTTCCAAGCATCATCTGTCTCACTTTGCTTAGGGCAAGACATCAGGACAGTGATATCAATCTGACTTATTTGCTTGTGCTGATTAACAGTGGTTTACTGATTAATGGTGTAAATGGGGAAGAGGTTATAGTCATCTCCTCGCCAGGTGGGAAACATTTGTTGAGTGTGTATGGTGGTAAGGGAACAAATAATCCTAAATAGCTCAAAGGGAATCACATAGCACCAGGACTATCAGGGTAAAGACACAATGAAACACAAAACACCCTCATTCTGTTAATTATTTAGTTCTATCATGATAAGTATACTTTAGTTTTGTCCAACATAGAAATCCTCAGAAGATGGTCAGGGTGGACGGTGGGCGTACACAGCACAGGACAGTTAGGTTTAAGCAACAAAAGCCCTTTAGTGAAGGATTGGAAATGTTAACAATATTTAACCAAGACCACAATCTGTTCTTAACCCTAACCAAGTGGTTTGAGTTGCCTAAACATGACCACGGTATGTCTTGATTGGTTTAAGTAGTGAAACAAGAATTACATCAACAATGCATCTTCACATTCCTACTGCCACTAAATCTATCGGAGTTGAAAAAGGTTTGTGCAGAGGAAGTTCTCTGTTCTCTTTAAGACCTTACTTCCTTTAGAAATTAAAAAATATTTCTAACAAACTCCTTGCTAGGCATTGCTAAACTTGAAATGCAATTTGACACTGAAAAATAAATTGGACAAACAGTACAAAAATGTATGCTTTCCCCACCACCACTCATAGGGTGTGATCAAATAAATTAAGTCTTCACTGAGTATGCAAGGACTGTAACTAGGCAAAGGTTATGCAAGAAGAACTTACATGACAAACTAAGACATGGATAATGGACCTGTTAACAACCTCAAACAGATAAACTCATTGAGACTTTAAGTGAACAGTACACACATGGAAAATATCACAAATGTAAAAGCCTACAGTCAAAATACACACAGTACAGCAAACTAAATGTCATACAGTAGGTGTGAATGGATAGCTTTTTTCAGAAACATGTCCCAGTGTTAAATCAATTTCTCTTTCTTTCTACCCTTAAGCCTTTTTCAAAGGGTTAGCAATTTGTTAAACAGCAGCCAGTAAAAAGGCTACTGGTCTGCAGCCTTTTCAAACCAGATTATCCTTGACTTGGTGATTACAGAGAACTTGCGCCTGACAGCTCAGATTAGGATCAATAGGGACACTCGTCACTTGACAAGGCATTAATCTGTTCTGCACTAGGAGGCTTCCAAATAAAAGCTCAGTCAGGTTGAATACCTGAAAACTCAGAGCACAAAGACATGAGTTTTACAACATGATTTTCACAACACACTGCACGACAATCTTAAAAACTATGATCACCATAAAAAAAACTACAAGTGAGAGAAAGAGAAACAAAAAAATGACTTGTTTTGATTTCTGAATACATCTCTCTGACCTCAGTCTCAGCCTTGCTAAGCCGTCCCAAATGGCTCAGGTTGGTAAACCTTCTCCATGTGTCATAACCGGTGGAACTTATGGCTGAGTTCCAGCAGTTATTGCAAAGCATTGCAGCAATTAATATCTGTTACAGTAGTGTTTGACAGGTCAATATCTAGAAAAAAGAAAAAAAGGTCTAATAAGGTCTATCAACTTTACTTTCACTCCACATTTGTCATTTCATTTAATTTCACATTTCTCTTCCACCCCCTAGTTTGGAAACCACAGACTCAAAAAATGTAAATGAATGCAATATTCTTATATTCTATTCTACACACTAAGCCAAGATTTTCGACTTAGTAAATGGATGTACATAACCCAAGACATTACTTCTTAAATTAATAACTGCCATATATCACCATAACAATACAGGGGTTAAATTGGGTGGTTGGCTTTCAACAACGTTAAAACTGACATATGAAAGAATGTGAAACAATTTACATATATTAATCGCTTTGTATTGCCCATGTAAAGAACTCGGGATGTTTTTACAGCAAAATCCAAAGAATGTGATGTTTATGCATGCTCTTGAATGATTTTTCTTCCACTTACGTACAGCAACAACAGTGTGCAACATTAGGTAACATTTAGAAATGGAGTCCACTAACATCAACAAATGACCGGCACCAACCACAACACACGGATTTCATTGAATGATTTGCAAATGGAAAGCTAGTGAGTATCATGATCCAAATAACATATAGGAACATTACAAATAGCACAGTAAATATGACTGTAATTTATTTTGCAGCAATAAGTGTTCATTCCAGTGTTTGTTTACATGACTGAAAAAGAAAACACAATCAAAAAATGTTTTTGTGATGTGTAAAAAAAAAAACCCACCAATGTAGAATTCAGGAGTTGCTTGATTTCAAGAGACTGGAATGTGATGATGCTAATAAACATGATTTCTCCTTGGCATTTTATTTAGTAGTCACAGCCACGCTTTAAGCTGGACATAGTTTTTAATACAGTTTTTAAAAAATAAAAGTGTTAGAACATTAAAAGTTAAGCAAAAAAAATATTATTTAATCTGCATAGTAAAAATCCCAGGATTTGGATGTACAGGATTATTCACATGGATTTCAGATATAATTTAAATGGGGCTTCTTCGTCATTATTTTTTTACATTATGTTATTGGCAAGTTATTATGTACCGCCGTTTAACACAAATGGACTTTAACAGAACCATGATGCGTCAGTCACACAATGTTTTTTTATTTATTTTTTTATCGTATACAAGATTGACCATCTTTAATAAAAACAGAAAGCACACAAAGTTTCTCAACGAACTGAACTCTTTTAATTATGAAAGACTTAACCACAGCATACTGGAGACATCTTTTTCTCAGGTAATAGTTTTACTGATCCATTTAGCATATTTTGGATTGCAGAGGTCCATGAATGCACTTGCTGTTCTACATACATTGTAAGGATCTCCAAGAAAAGAAATAACACCATAAATCTTGTCTTTGTACACCACTCCTCCACCAGAATCTCCCTGTGAGAGAGAAATATATTTTGAAAAACTTCTATCTATCTTAAAATAGTCAAAACTTGAATCACAAAAGTAGAAAGTATTTATTAGAGGCCATGCAAACCCACATAGCATATATCCACTCCAGGTGTTTGGCCACAGAACCATTTTTGAGACACCTTGACTTCGTAGACCTTTCTGAAATTTTTTTTTAAAGTAGCTTTGAGGTTGTCACATCTGACAATCGTAATGTCTGCACAGTGGAGATCAGGGGATTTACTGGGTCCTGGAAAAAAAGAAGAAGATGTAAACACGAAATATTGTTTGAAGAATTTAAACTAAAAATATATATTTTTAGAATAAGCAAAATATTCTTTTAATATATTTAATTGCATGCAGAACTGCAGCAGAATATAAATGAAACTGTCTAAGCCCATAGGCAAATGTATGTTTATTCAAATATATTTCAAAATAGATCATTAAATGATCAAAAATCATCTCACTCCTTTCATCATTAGGACCTCCAGTAGTGGCTGCGTGACCTGCGATCTTAACTTTTTCCCCCCTGAAAAATAAGAAGAAACCAATAATGCCTTAAAAAACACTTACCCCATGCCTATCCCCATCTGCAATCTCCGCACACACAGCGCATGCTGTGGATTCACAAAGTAACATGAAGAGTGCTGTAGTCATAAACATTCTGCTTTTTGGTGTGCTTTTGTCTTGTCATTAGCCTTCACCACATCTAGACCCATATAAGACTGACTAAATAAAGGTATCTCTAGGTGACACCAACTGCCAGAGATTTGTTGGAACTACAGAAACATGTGCAGTTGTAAAGTGTCCTAGTGTTAAAGAGTGGAGCTTCTTCCAGAACTAAATCTGAACTTGGTAAAGCTACTTCTGGCTGCTAAATTGCTCAGATCTGGAACAAACCTTCAGAAACTGTGAGACTTCAAGGGCCATAAACTGTTAGCTATCGTTAGATGATAGATGCATCTTTCCAAAAATCTAAACATAATAAACATTTTGAATCGAACACAGAATGCAGTGTTCCACATACTTGTCAAAACGAACAACTGACAAGCACCTCTATATTTTTTTAGATGGGGAAAAATCACAACTCACATTTTAGGTCGACGTTCACAATCAGGAAGAGCTATAGGTTGAATTTCAGGGGGGCTAGGTAACTGCAGTAACATGATATCATGGGAACTGGTGTTGTTGTTGCTGTCTTTATCTGTATAGATCACAGGTTCTGCCGTGATTTTTACTTCTTGCACTGGACCCCCTGGATGCACACTTAAATCTGCAAACATAGTCCTACACATTGGATATATTAAAAAACAGTAAAACACATCCACTTTTAGTACTGCGGGTTAGAATTTTTTTTTCAAAAACACAAAAAACATGCACAATTACTTAATTAGCCTCAATGTATTTATAGTGCGAAGATTTTACAGTATTTTAAGAAATGCTGTCAATTTCTTACCTTCCTGGCTTCAAACAGTGAGCTGCAGTCAAAATCCAGCGGCCACTGATCAGAGAGCCACCACACAGGTTTGAAGATCCATCTGCTGCAACTCCTCTCAGTTTCACATGGTACATAAGCTCACATGGTTGACCATGAATAATTCTCTTCTGCAGATCCACCTCTGTGGTCACTGTGACACCTGAATGACTCACCAGGTGAGTTGGGGGTAAAACAGTGTCCGTTTGCACTAAGTCATCTTATCTGCTCTCAGTTAGAATAGAAGAAAATGAGATTCCCCAGTAAGAAATTGTAGAAATTACATACAGGTATAGCTTGTATTTCAATTTGTCTCATTATCACTGAATAAAAGGCTTCTGCTGTACAATTGCTGTGTGTATGTTCTTTCATTTACTACAACAGAGAGAGGGCGCTATGGAGCCTTAAAGTACAACAATAAATCTATCTTAAGGGTGCCCTGTGGACCCATACCTAAAAATGTTGTTCCGTTGCACTCACCACAAACAAACACAAACACTTGACAGGGTACCTTTAAGGTGTGATGCAATTTAAACCAATGAAGTAACTTTCAAGATAACCTCCCAAACAAACAAATGCACACATTGCTAGCACCAGGGACAGGGAGAGTGAGAGGCACGACAACAAGTGTATGTAATGGATTAGCTAGACATATAATTTCAAAATACATGATATTCAAAAATATTAAGGTATAGTGTGAACTACAAAGTAGATAGGCTTTTTTAACACTCACCGACCCACAGAAAAAGGAGAAGCACTGGACGAGCCATCGCTGTCATTCACCCTCTGATAACAGCAGCAGCTATCCAACTACCTCATAAAGGCTTATCAACTCAACCCCATTGGCTGCAAAGCTCTAACACATTTATGCAAAGTTTAGATCTTTTGTCAACATTTTCTTCCCTCGTAAAGAGATAGCAGGGAAATTACAATGAAATTAAATTAGAGGCACTCATTGCCCTGAGAGCTCACTGACTTGAATCACATATTCTTTTCTCTCAGTACATTATTTGGATGACTTACTAGATGGCTTTTACAAAATATGTGCTGAAATGTTAATTCTTAGGAATTACTTTCATATTGTTCAGTACCAATGTACTTCATGTACAGGAAATCATCAACTGATAATTGGTTCATGGATAAGACAACAAATGGGCATGTTGTTTTGAATAATCCAATTCAATTTAATTCAATTCTGGGTGCATTTTGATCCATAAATTGGGCTATTGGACATAATGTCACACCCAGAGATCTGTGCTAACAAAACCAGTCCCTAATAGACCAAAGTACTACTTAATTTGGACTCTGAGTCAATTCCTTTAAAACAAAGTGGACCCATGAAACAAACTTTACTCCAGCTCTTCCCTCTTTGTGGGATGTCTACCTGCAAGCCAACACCTCACTAGAAAAGGTGCATGTTTTTATTTCTTCTTTAGCTCTATGCAATGGTTTTCACCTTCATACCCAAATCATTTCGACAAACACTGTTTTCTATTTCTGTGAAAACATAACAGTATAAAATCACAAGGAAATCACTTATGGTTTCTTGTAGAGCTGAAATCTCATTGTTTATTATACAAGTCGACCTGTTTCCAGTTAGCCACAAAATAGACCACACCCTCTCTGTGATATCTCAGCTGTATCTTTGATCCATTGCATGTATTGTTGATTGCAGATGTCCACAAATGCAGCTGGTTGAGTACATATATTGTGTATATCACCAGTGAAAGATATGACACCGTAGATTTTGTTCTGATATACCACTCCTCCACCAGAGTCACCCTGTAAGAGAGAAGTATACTTTATATTTCTTGTAATATAATTCTACTTCATTATTAAAATCTTGATTAATCTTGATGATCAAAACTTTTAATGACTGTACAGACGATTTAAGTTTTGAAGCCATGGGAACTCACAGAACACACATCCACTCCAGGACTCTGGCCACAGAACCAGTGTTGATACACCACTTCATTGTAGAAAAAGGGTTTCGTGTTTTTCAAATGGTTTCTGAGTCCCTGACAGTCGACAATGTCAATGTCTGCACATTGGAGAGTAGTTGATTCACCGGGCGCTAAAGGAAAAGAAAAACATTTTCATTATATTATATTATTTAATATGCATACTCTGGTTTAAACTGTAGGATCAATTCACAAAACGTTACAAATGGAATTTATCATTATTATTAAGAATTAAACCTCTTAGTATAAGTGCAATAATCTTCCTTATTTAAAGATTTTAAATATTTTCCACAGAGCTGTAAAATATGCTGATCTGCACCTGAAGATAAATAACAAAACAGTTTTAAGACATTTTTACAAAATTTGCCGTGCTATCATTAAACAAAATAATACACTTTATGAAGATAGGTCATTACACTTATCAAGTTATGAAAAATAGTCTCACTTCTTTCCTTATTAGGGCCTCCAGTAGTGGCAGCGTGACCTGCAATATTAACTTTCCTCCCCCTGAAAAACAGCAAAAATAATAAGAAATCATTTTATAATGACATAAAAACAGTGGCCCCATGCATAGCCCCTGTGATCTCAACACACAGCACATGCTAAGGATTCACAGTAACATGGAGAGTCTTGTGGTCACAAGACTGTTGTACTTTTTGGAGTGAAATTATGCAGCAATCAATGGGCACATAAACTCAACATCCACCCCATTAGCCACCCACCAATTGCACAAGTCGCATCCCAGCCCCTAGGATGGCAAGTTGATTCAAAGTATGCAGTTTACAGTGGGTAAAACTAAAAGAAAAAAAAGTAAAGAATAAAATTATAATGATCAAGGAAAATTATATTTCAAAAGCTCATAAAGGAACAAAGGATGACGGAAATTAAGTTGTTGTGAGATGCGTGTTAAAACATTATAGCAACTGAACATCTAATCCATCTACAAAGTCTAAAAAGGGCTTCCATGTAAAGTAGAATTCCTAGATTCCTTTCATGGTGCATCTGATCTTTTCTACCTTCAGAGACTGCATGAACCTTTCAAACTCTATGTGCAAAAACAGGAGGGGAATCTGCCACTTTAACAGTATTAATCTGGGGCAATTTTGGGCAGGACCAGATATATGGAAAAATATCTTGTTTGCATCTTTTACATTTTAAATTTAGTTCTGGATAGATTTTTGACAGTCTCACTTTAGAGTCATGTAGGTGGTGGACCACTTTAAACTGGATTACACAATACCTTGTATGAAGAGGAATGTATCCTTTAGATTACCTGATTTTAAGAGGTGCGAGAGGTACCTTTCCAACTGTATTAATTGTATTATAAAGTTTACTAATGTACTCTTTACTGACAGGGTTAAAAAAAAATTTGGTGTGCTTTTGTCTTATATAGTTAGATATACCTTAATTAATTAATTAAGACAGGCCTTTTTTCTGGGGCAGCCAGCTTTAACCTCAGAATGTGACTGCAATATGTATTTAGCCATTAAGTGCATATTTAAAATATATATAAAAACAACATATAAAAAACCCAACTCTTTCAGTTATTTAAAAACTCACAATTTAGGACGACGTTGACAGTTGGGAAGAGCTATAGGTCGAATCTGAGTGGGCCTAGGTAGTCTCAGTAGCATGATGTCATGGGACCGGAGGTTGTTGTTGCTGTCTTTATCTGTATAGATCTCAGGTGGTGCTGTGATTTTCACTTGTTGTCCTGGACCTGGATGCACACCTAAAACTGCATACATAGTCCTAAAGGTAAGTACAGATTAATATCAGTAAATTGAAAACATCTACTTCTACAGTACATAGTAAATCAGCACAATGTAATTAATTTTTTCTTTTTATGTTTCTAGAACCACAGATCAATCACTCAATGAATCTATTTGTCCAGTATATAAATAACTCTTTGATTGACTGGTTAAACAATGTCGAAACACATGGTCTGAATTTATGAATGAGAAACATGTTTTTCTCACCATCCCGCTTTCCAGCAGTGAGCTGCTGTCAGAATCCACTGGTCAGTGATCAGAGAGCCACCACAGAAGATGCCATTGTTACCATTCCTTACTATTAATTTCACGTGATACAGACGATCATTTGGTTGACACAGTTGACCGCCAATGATTCTCTTCTGCAGATCCAGCACTGTGCTCCCTGTGACACCTGAAACAGAAAGGTGACTATGAGTTAGAAAAGGGGTTGTTGTACTCATCAGAAAGCAACATATTTACTAAAAACCCACACAGGTGAGTGTCCATCCATCCATCTATCCATCTATCCATTCGTGTTGAAGAAGTTACTAATAATTTGTAGTTACTTATCCATCCATCCATCGTCATCTGCTTAGTTGGGTCGCGGGGGTAGTTACTTATACTAATTTAAAATAATTACATGACTTTATTGTTACTTAATGACAAAATTAATCAATTTCAAAGGCGGAGTGGGGGTGGGGGGCTTCTGTGGCTCCAGCCCTGGATGTGTCCAAATTTTCTGCTGAGTAAATGTTCTTTGTCTAATATTCAATTCAGAATAATAAAAACCACGTTTACTTGGCACTGTTGGGCATCCTTGATTTGCTAATGGGGCAGCCCAGATTATTATGACATGGATTAAGATGTAGCAGCCAACTTAATATTTATACTGTGAACTCTACTCCAACGTAGTATAACAAAAATAGGTTTGGAGATTAGTAATGGTGGGAATGCTGTTTATGTTATGGAACTTAAAAATTGTAACATCAGACTAGTTTTGCCTCTTTTAAGGTGGCAGGAGTAAAATTGAGTTATCCTTAACATTATGAAGTTTTATAAACTAGATTCGGGAACCAAGACCACGCCTTGAACTCACCCAATTTCCGCATTCGAAGTACTTAAGCACACCTTTTCCATTCATCTCCCCTTGACTCAGCTTTCTCATCCCTCCCACCCAAACCGTCGTCTGCTGATGAAGAGACGGCTCCCCCACCCAGAGTCTCGACTCCGCCAGTCCCCACACACCTTCACGCCTGCAGACACCAGTCTGCTCTTCACCCCCACATCCATCGGCACGGAACGGATCCGACTCCTCTTCCTCATCCCTCACCTGTCTTCCCCTCAACCCTTCATCCATCACACCTCGACCCCTACCCCTCATCCCTCGACCCTCTCCCCCATCCCTGCATCCCTCAGCCCACCCTCCGGGCACTCGATCCGTTCTCTCCATAGGATCCCATCATAATCAATAAACTATTTTAAATCTACATCTTTGCAGGCGTGGTCTTTGTTAGTGAATGCTGTTTTATGGTTTCATAATGAAACCAGAAAGATAAAAGAACTGTCAAAACTGTAAGCTAAAATGTACACAGTGGATTAGTACTCACCAACCCACATAAAGAGAAGCATCAGACGAGTCATCTTTGTCATTCACCCTCCAATGACTGGCCTCAAGTGACAACAGCCTTTTTAAATGTGCCCTGTCCTTCGAGCCGCCAGTCACCCTATGAAAGCTTATCTACACAACCCAGCTGGCATCAAAAACATTTATGCAAATGTATGATACATACATATCAGATGAGAATGACACTGGAATTTTAGATGAAACAACACACAGCTTATTAGGCTACGTTCAGACTGCAGGCCTTAATGCTCAATTCCGATTATTTCCCAGATCCGATTTTTTTTTGTTTGACAGTTCACATTGTTGTTTAAATGTGGCCCATATCAAACTCCAGTGTGAACTGTCCGCGGCCTGAAAGTGACCCACATGCGCAGAAGAATAACAAAGCTCCGGTTAACTTGCGAGAGCCATTTGCATATGTTGCAAACTATCTTCTGTGTCATTCTGCTTGTCCCTGCTGAGTGTTGAAGGGCTTATATGCACTGTAGGTTGATGCACTGCAACAACAGAATTTAATTCATAATTCCTTTAGAACACAGTAAATATTTGCATGAGACCACAATGCATGATGAATGTCTCCACATGTAACTACATGCATGATTTCAATTAGTTCAACATAGTGAGCGGATACAGATTTTGAATTTATTTATAAAATAATGGCTTGTATGGCCCCTCATACTGACCTACACTGTACATTTACTGCCAGACTGACAACAGACACGCTCGCTTTTTCCATCACTTTCTGCCGCTCGCTCTCTCCCATCCCCTCACTCGCTACTCCTTTAAAGGACACTGCACTCCTTTAAAGGACACTGCACTCCTTTAAAGACCTGAGATTAACTCCGCTGCTCTTATAACAGCAGTTGTCACGTAACTTAGATGTCCCTTGATGAATGAGGAGAGGCTAGCAGGCGGGTGCTGCTGTGCTCGCACAGTGTGGGGGTGAAAGTCAGTAGTTCCGCATTGATATTAAATAATTTAGTGAAATTTTAGTAGCAGCGGTCATTACTCAGCAGTGGTGATGCACCGAATATAGGGGAACCATGTCTCTGTAATGTTGACGTCAACATTACCTTATCAATTAACATTTAGATAATCAATGTTTAAAATCTGTGAATCAAAAAAATAAATAAATCCAGCTTTAATAATTGGGCATATTTACAGTACAAACCTTGTCAGTGAACTATGAGGACAAAAAAACTACAAAAAACAAAATAATCATTCAATAATCGTAACTGAGGTAAAATGTTCAATTAATCGTGATTTTGATTTTAGGTGAAATTGTCCAGCCCTACTTTTGAGCAACATATGTCTTTTCAAAGGGCCAAGAGTCACAATGTGTGAATAATGATAGCTTTAACCATCATTTCCTTGGAATATAACCTGGTTCAGCAGCTGGACTTCACCAATATCATCATAGATCTTGCTTCAATGAAGAGCAGGAAACAAGGTGACGAGGGAGAGGGACAGATTGACACATGGATAGAAATAACTCTTGGAACTTATCCTACCAGTGCCTTACATGTTTTAACTTTTGGTAAATGTATGAACAAATCTTAAAACTGAATGTTTACACTGATCTACTGAGTAACCACTGTCAACGATTTAATCAATATCTTTTAGCTCAATGGGAGGTGTCAGAAGGGCAAGACTGAGTTGACTGTGTTGTGGCTTCACAAATGCTTTGCTGCATACCTCGGTTGTAACGAGTGGTTATTTCAGTCAAAGTTGCTCTTCTATCAGCTTGAATCAGTCGGCCCATTCTCCTCTGACCTCTAGCATCAACAAGGCATTTTCGCCCACAGGACTGCCGCATACTGGATGTTTTTCCCTTTTCACACCATTCTTTGTAAACCCTAGAAATGGTTGTGCGTGAAAATCCCAGTAACTGAGCAGATTGTGAAATACTCAGACCGGCCCGTCTGGCACCAACAACCGTGCCACACTCAAAATTGCTTAAATCACCTTTCTTTCCCATTCTGACATTCAGTTTGGAGTTCAGGAGATTGTCTTGACCAGGACCACACCCCTAAATGCATTGAAGCAACAGCCATGTGATTGGTTGATTAGATAATTGCATTAATGAGAAATTGAACAGGTGTTCCTAATAATCCTTTAGGTGAGTGTATACATACATATTGTAAATAAGCAACAAAATTTTAAGACATAATAAGAATGTAGTGAATGTGAATATGTGTCAAACAATATTACCAAACATACAAGCAAAAATAACATTAACTGTGAAAATAAAGTGTATGTATAAATGTATTATTAAATGTATTTATTAAAAACAAACAACATTAATCTCACGTCTTTTATTATTAGGGCCTGCAGTTGTTGTTCCATAACCTGCCATCTGAACTGTGTCACCTTTGAAATACAACAAAAGTTTTATAGCAGTTTTCTTTTTTATAAGTCTAAATAATGATTTAAAAAGTTGAGATGAGCTTTCAGACCAAAAGTCTGCAGCCATCATAATTTATTATTATTTGTGCTTCAAGTACAGATAACAGAAGATGGAGAAGAAATCAGCCGACTGATGGACCGTCAACGAAGTCGGTTTAAAACAGAGACATTCTTCTCTGTACTCATTACCATTCATTTCACAAAGGTTATGTAGAACACAACATGCTATCACCATAGATTTGATCATGTGTATGTTGCTGTCATTTTCGTTTTAACAAACAACCGCCATCTGCCCTTCAGTCTGCCAAAAGCATTCTCAACCACCACCCTGGCTCTGCTTGTTTTGTAGTTGTACACAAGTTGCTGCTGTGTCAAACGGCCATTGTCTGTGAAAGGTTTCATCAGCCAGCTTTTCAAAGGATAGGCTGCGTCACCAAGGAGACAGAACCCAACATCATGTCCAGAAATGTCCTTTGTTTTGTCAGGGTGCAGCAAACCCATGTCCTCTAGGCCCCACAACCCTGACAAGTGCAGTACTCTGGCATCATGCAGGCTCCCTGGTGCTCCTGTAATAACATTCCAAAAGAGACCTTTTCCATCCACAACAGCCTGCTGGATGATCAAATGTTAGCCCTGAGATTATCTTGCAGGTTGAGATAGACCTTTGTCATTCTCATAACATTATAAAGTATGTTTCTGGTGCAGACAAAGGGGTTTTGATTTAACTTTGCGATAAGACCTTTTTTCCATTGCAAACATTTTGAATTCTCAAACACAGAAACTCTGGTGTATCTAATGACATAATAATGAATACATTGCTGTTAAGTTAAGTTACTGTTGAGGCGAATCAAATAAATAAACAAACTGCAATTGCAAAACATGTGCATGATGTAAACTAGTTCTCTTTTTCTCAACACTTCTGTGTCTACACTTCTGCTGTGAAGGTGACTGGCTGTTTTCTGTGGTATCTTTTTACCAAAAATCCCAATTTGCAAGTCAGGATGAAGAGTCAAAAACTCTTTGAAACTGCCTTATATATTTATATGAAACAATTTGAACTACAAAAAACACAGTGCTGAATAACTGTATAATGAAGAGTTGAAAATGTCTGAATACATTATGTGACATACATGTAACGAGAAAGCAAACGATACAAATCCTCTTTTAAGAACAATATAGAATGGCACTAATAAGGAGGGAAACTGCTTTTATATAGCATACAACTAAAAGCAAGAAGTCAATGCCAAAGTGCTGGCTATAGCCGCTGATAAACTGTATTCCACCTGAGCTACACACTTACAACAAGTATAGGATAAGATAGGCTGCGTCACCAAGGAGACAGAACCCAACATCATGTCCAGAAAAGTCCTTTGTTTTGTCAGGGAGCAGCAAACCTCCATTAGCCCCCCCACAACCCTGACAAGTGCAGTACTCTGGCATCATGCAGGCTCCCTGGTGCTCCTGTAATAACATTCCAAAAGAGTGTGTGTGTGTGTGTGTGTGTGTGTGTGTGTGTGTGTGTGTGTGTGTGTGTGTGTGTGTGTGTGTGTGTGTGTGTGTGTGTGTGTGTGTGTGTGTGTGTGTGTGACTCTGACGTGCAGTAACTCCTATGTGAAAAGTGGAGAGTCTGGTCCCTTCCAGGATGTGGTGGTGAGAGGTGTCACGGGTTTTATTTTCTTCAACCGTAGCTAAACTGTCTTGTAAATAATAAAGACAACTAAGCTTTCTCAGTGATTGAAGTAACCTACGGCGCAACCAGAGAAGTGAAAAAAACAAAAACAAAAACACTTTTATTTTAGTCCTATAGTTATCATGGATGCCAGGCATCCACTGGATACTTTTTCCTACAAAGAGAATTATGACTTTGTTTATAATCTAAAATACTGTGTTAATAGCTTACCTCAAAACAGTGTGCATGAGTGAAACCTGTGTCATCCTCATAATGAAACAATGTCTATAAACAATGTAGATATAGCAGTAGGTCTCTTAAAAGACAAAAGCGTTTTATTGTAAGGAATCCTATATGTGTTTTACATATTTTGAGGGCCATTGTGATGTATATACTTACAAAACACTGCATAAACAACAGTTAATCCAAAGCCGCTGCTGTTTTATCTTTATCATTGTAATATAACCTACTTTAGTCTATATGATGCAATACTGTTATCAGGAACTAAATGTTACAAAGAGCAAACGCCAGAGTTGGTGAATTGGGATGGGTTTATGTGTGAAAAAAACAGATGGTGATCACAGAGAGGTGACAATCCTTAATTATACCTAAAGTCACCCCAGCCAGGGTTGATGGACTGATTGTCAGACAAAAAAAGAGCTTCATTTGGTTAAGCTATAGCCTACCTCCTTTATTTTAAGATAGATGTCATTAGTAAAATAACATCTTAATTAAGTGTTTAAAATATGTATTAGATATCGCAATACCGCATGTGCATATAATATCCTCTTAACATTTAACAGTAGCTACACAAAGTCTAGCTATTTATTTTTTACAAGTCCCACATCGTGGTTGTTTTTATTTTCTCTTAATTTATAATCTAAACTAAATGTGATATCATGCATTAAAACAGTGAATCGTTAAAACCCCTGAGCCACCCTCATAGCGCAAACAATGTCTATAAACATTGCACATATGGTAGCCTAGTATTAAAAGATACAACCCCGTTTAATCAGTGTGCTGCTGTTATCTATAGGAA